ATATCTTTCAAAAGTCCTGAGGGGTATGACTTCTGAAATGGCTGTGAGAACTTTGGCAAATCCTCTCCCCAAGAAGCAGGAACAAAACTGGACTAGTGGTGGGCCGGCCGAGTGGCGCATTGGTTAAGAACTGGCTTGGGACGCCAGAGGGCCCCAGTTCGGATCCCACATATGAGGGCCAGTGACACTGCCCTCTACAGCTAAGATGCTGAACAACAGCTCAAACAGCTCAACCTGGAGCTGGGCTGCCCTGAGTCGCCAGCGTAGGCTGCAGCCCCTGCTGCAGTGGGTTGCCATGGGCTACCGTGTGTGGCCGGCATCCAGCGTGAGTGGCCCTCAAGCCGCCGTGAGCGGCCGTCCAGAAGCCGGCGACTGATCTGCCTCGCCTGGGAAGAGCACAATGATGGTGCCAACTTGGGCCAGTGAAGCAACATCCTCCAAAACTAGTCTGAAGAACAAAAGGACAGCAACTTGTCTGTTCCCCTTCCCCCAAATCCCCAGCGCTGTTCCCATCCCCCAATTCCCCAATTTAAAAAAACTACAACAACAACAACAAAAAACTGGACTAGTGGTTAAAGACAACTATTTAAGGACTATGAAATGGACCATAGTTATACAACAAAACTGAGAAGCATTATTTGAGAAATTCTACGGAAGCTTGGTAAGAACAGTGGACATCTGTGGTGTTTTAGCATGGGTCTATTCACATGACCTCCCCTCTAGCTCTGTGGTCTTATGAGGGAGAAGGGCAGGCCTGCTGGAAGGGCTGACTATTCGTGCAAAGCACAGACAATTCTGTATCTAGTGATGTCAAAAACAACATCAAAGTGGCAAACGTTCAGGGAAGGCCGACATACTGACTAACCAGAGATTTTAATACTGGTCGGTGCAACTAGTCAGAAATTAACAGGAAAATCAGGGGACTGAGACAACAGATGACAATTATGTTTTTACATGTTGTTAAAAAGGAACAACAAACCCAAAATGAAGTCACTTTTGCTAAACCACCAAAGCTTAATAACTAACCTAATTGCAGTTTTAGCCTCTCCCAGGAGTGGAATTTTAAACCAGTGGGGAATTTCTGATCAACGCCAGTGAGGTAATCTACCTTCTGCCAAGGGAAGGCATCTTTGCCTGAAACAATCTAGTCTTTTAACTTTTTAGTCTCACCCTCTTTCTGCCTGTGAAAACCTTCCATTTTGTACAACTCATTGGAACGCCCTTTTAGTTGCTAGATAGGATGCTGCCCAATTCACGAATCGCTTAATAAAGCAAATTAGATCTTCCTATTTACTTGGTTGAATTTTGTTCTTTAAGAATACAGCAAAAAAGGTACGTTGTGAGGCGTCTTCCTGGTGTCATGTGCACCAGGAGATGTGTACAAGAATACTCACGACAGTGCTGTCTCCAAGAGCAAAAAAATTCTGAACAGCCCAAATGTCCATCAAGAATCAAAAGGACAAATAACACATTTTCATACAAAGGAATCCTATGGAGCCATGAAAGTGAATGAACTATAGGGCTGCACACAACAATCTGGATGAATATTAGGAAAAGAATATTGAGGGGAAAAAGCAAGTCCCAGAACATGTAGAGTATGATTCTATTTGTAATACATTAAAAAACAAGACACGGGCCGGCTGAGTGGCGCGTTGGTTCAGAGCTGGCTTGGGATGCCAGAGGGCCCCGGTTCGGATCCCACATATGAGGGCCAGTGACACGGCCCTCCACAGCTAAGATGCTGAACAACAGCTCAACCTGGAGCTGGGTGGCCGTGAGTCACTAGCGACGGTGTGGACTGCAGCTTCTGCTGCCCTGGGTTGCCATGCGCTACCATGTGTAGCCAGCAACCAGGGTGAGTGGCCAGCAGCCGCCATGAGCGGCCACCCAGAAGCCGGCGACCGATCTGCCTCGCCCGGGAAGAGCGTACAAACAAAAAACAAAACAAAAAACAAGACACTATTTAGGGATATAGGCTTTTGCAGTAAAATTCTAAAGTGTGGTCCCGAGGACTAGGTACTGGGCAGCCTTCCTGACCAAAGTCAGCAGGGTGGGGGTGAGAAAGGGCACATGAAAGTCATGAACGAATAGGAAGCTGTGTAAGAAGTCTCACGATAGCAGCAGTCACTAACTGGGAAAGGGAAAAGGTTCCAGGACTGGAAGCATTTCAAGGGAAGAGAATGACCAGTTTTCTTATCCATATGGAGTGAGCCGGGCCATCCCTGGACTGAAAATCAGAAGACCTAGACTACCCTCCAGATGCTACCATTAATTTGCACTATAGATCTCAGGCAAATTTTTACCTTCTATGGGGTGAGGGTATAAAGATCGATCAAATAATGCACGCCAAAAGAGCTTTTTAAAGGCCTCCAGAGTTTGGGAACAGATAAATTTGAAACTCATCACAGTCTCAAGTAGAGGCAGATTTACTAAGACACTAATGACAGGTAAGCTTCAGGACCCCTCACTTGCCCGAGCTCCTTCTGAGGCCCTAAGAAGAGCCCTAACCATTTTGCGTTATTTTTCTTTAAGAGAGCCCCCAAGTGGGTGGCATAAACTTCAAGCTCCACAAAACTTACCCGAGTCCCAAAGTGGTGCATCTTTTAACACACAGCCAAAAGCAGACTCCTGTTTAGATTCTCTGCTTCTACTGAATTTTCTGGCCTCATGAAACCATCCCTTAATTCAAACTACATTTCCCTCAGAAACTGAGAAAGTCTGAAAAATCTAAGCTCTCACAAGAGTGTGACTGATAAGGCTTCAGAAATCCCTGGCTGTGCCTTTATTCTTGTGTAAAGACCTCAGGATACACTGAATCTTGCTGGATAATTCAAACAATGTAACATTCTTTTTCTAGCAAGGCCGTTTGCTGGGAAGGTACAAACTAATTTGGCAATATCCTTGCTAAATATTAGAATTGGCTCAACTATGACAGAGCACAAAGACCTCCATGTTGTGTCTACGACCTGCTTTACAAACACTGCAATCCCGCCCCAAGGCTGGTAGCGCTGTCACGCACGCCCAACCCTCCACAAATGGTCCTGACTCTGGTCCTCTGCACCAGGCAGGATCTGGAGAGGCGGCGATGCAGGGGCCCTAGCACAGGCACGGCTATAAGCGCTATTCCCTATGACTTCAGGGTTTTGTGGAGACACCAGAACTCCATGAGCTTTGTCTCATATGTGGATGAAGGAGCAGCAGCTGAACCAGTGATCTGAGAAATGTGCCACCGAAAAGAATATTTTCAAGAGCAAATTATCCAGAAAGGGGATTTGCTTAGGAGAGTTTGAGAAATTTGTGTAGCAAAGTCACAACTCTTCTTCCACAAAATGTCCACATCCAACATGGAAAAATTAGGACTCATAAGAAAATGTTATTGTGAAGAAACCAAAAGAGAACATAAATCCCCATGAAACCCATAGAAGACCAATAAAGTTCTTGAGAATTTTCTATTAGCAAAAACACTGCCATCTTAGACGGAAAGGAACAGACGGAGATTGTTGGATCCCAAAATTTTACTGCTAAGAAGTAGGCTGATAAAAACTACTCAGCTACAAAGTCCATCTTCATGAAAAAGGAAGGATGACAGAGGTGTAGCCACAAGCCCAGAGGGAAAAAGGAAGAGTTTAGAAGGTGGAACCAGAGCTAAGAGCCCAGGAGGACTATTCTGGGGCCTTGACACCTACCTAATCCAGGAACTGGAGTCTGCCCAGTTAGATTTCAAAGCTGCCTTGTCCTCCCTTTTTTTTTTTTTTTTAAAGATTTTTATTGGGGAATTGGGGAATGGGAACAGAGCTGGGGAATTGGGGGAAGGGGAACAGACAAGTTGCTGTCCTTTTTGTTCTTCAGTCTAGTTGTGGTCCTCCCTTTTTGAACCTGAATGTCACTGTTATGCTAGTCCCACCTTATGTGTTGGGAGGGAGGGCTGGGGCAGATAATTTGCTCTGTAGTGTCATAAGTCCACAGATGGAGAGTGCTCAATGGACTACACATGCAGAGCCTCATTTACACCTGATTTAGATGATATTCATGATGAGATTTGGGAGTTTTGAGCTGAAGAGATTTAGGACTTTGAACTGTTACCATAATGGGATGAGGCCCTGGGAAAGCAGTCACTGTATTTTGCATGTGGGAGAGGCATGTACTGTGGGGGTCAGAGGGTAGATTGTGGTAGGCATGAATTTAAGATGGCCCCCACAATACTCATCCCTGATGTTACTCTGGCATTCATGTAACCTTACAGGGCAAAGGGAGATGATCTGAGTGGGCCTCCTCTAATCACAGGAGCCCTTTATAAGCACTTTTCTCTGGCTGGTAGCAGAAGAGGAATTCGGACACAGTAAAAGAGTGAGAGAGATTCAACAACGCAAGGGAGGTTCTCTGTTGCCGAGATGGAGGAGTCACAGGGCAAGGACCATAGGGAGGAGGAGCTAAGAGTGGTCCTGGCTCACAGCCAGCAGCAAAACAGGGACCTTAGCGCTACAACTCAAAGGAACTGGATTCTGCCAACAATCTGGATGAGTCTGGGCGCAGGTTCTTTCCCAGTCTCTCCAGATGAGTCTAGTCTGGCCGATGCCTTGATTTTGGGCTTAGGAGACCCTAAACATGAATTCAGCCAAACCTGCCCTGGACTTCTGACCTATAGAACTGTCAGATAATAAATGCGTGTTGTTTCAAGCTATTGAATTTGTGGTAATTTGCTACATAACAATAGAAAATTCATCCAGATTTCGTTTAGCTCCACAGATTCTATTTCTGGACATGTTGTTGCTCTAGTCTAGCCCATTCTGAGAGCAATTCTCAGGCAGCAACAAGAGGACCAGGTGCAGTCGGGGCTAGCCCTTCCCAGCACAAGTTTCCTCATCTGCTCATCTGCAAAATGAGTGGATCAAAGGAGAAAAGCTGTAAAAAAACACTTCTACACCAACAAATCTTTTCAAGTATCAGCTGCATTATTAAGCACAACATCTGTGCAAAACAGGAACCCAGAGACAGCTCACCTTCCTCAGGACAGCACTGTGGATTGCTGGAGAAAAGGTATGCCCCTTCTCCTCCTGTTAGAAAAGTGCCCAGGAAACATTCATCCTCCTTTAAAAAATAAAGAAACACAAAGAGCAAGTGATTTATAGCATAAACATTCACAGAATTGAAAGTCCTGCCCAAATTTGTCTGTCTACAAAAGCTGCTGATATACCCAACTTCTTCCACTGCCTTTGGCACTGCCTGGCTCTTTGTCATGTTACTGGAATCCTTGACTTGTGCTGAGAAAAAGAATGTACGGTCCTCTCTGAGTCCAGGCACCAAAGCCTGAAATGCTTGTTCATGTTCCAGTGGATTCAGTGGATTTATATCCACCAGAGGCAGCTCTCCTTGGACTAAAGCTTTGATCTCTAGCTCTGTGTGTATAGTCCATTCTGAGATCTGCTTTTAATGGTACTGGGATATTAAAACACATACACACACACCAAAAAGTTTAAATAGCAGAAAGAACCCCTCTAACTGTGTACCCCATAAATGATTATTTCTAGAGCTCTACTGGGAAGGGAAAGAATGCACACAGGAGTTGAGACAAAGAAGTACAGATCCTTTAAATTAGCCCTGAGATATTTTAAATTATCTTTATAAATTGTTTACATTTCATTTTGATATGTTAACATTTAAGAATAAGAAGGCTGCTTACTTTCACTCCTTGCTTGGTTTTCTCAGGCAATTTTACTTCATTATCTTCTACCTGTGTCCAAAAAGAGTACAGATTTTCAGGTACTATTTCATGGCCAGAACTTTGCTAGGTTCCTCTCCCCCCGATCCTGTGTTCAAATATTTCTAGGCAACTGTCTGGGCGTCCCTCCACCAAATCTAGTCTTCCAGGTCCTGACTGCTGGCAGAGTTGGCTACTGGTCATCAAGGCTCAGAGCCCAAGGCCATGGTGGGCTCTCTCACTGGGATCTGAGGTCCAGCTAAATGAGCGTATGATATGTAGAAAGGATGTGTTAGTCTCCACTTACATTTCACTTCAGAGGAAAAAAACAACTATTTTTAGGAACAAAGGAAAGACAGCATATAAAAATATTTTCTGAGTGCGTTCTCACTTAAACATGTTCATGTTAGAAGATAACTCTTGTTCTTCCCTATTCAAGTCAGAATTGTAGAAACAGAATATGAACAGCTTCTAAAATGGGTACTCAGATCATTACCAAGCTCACTGCTGTCATACTTTCTATGTCCCAAGGCACCAGAGTTTCAGACCAAGTCCCACCAATGAAGATGGGACCTTTCCACACACAGAGACACACTGCTGTACAAACTTAGCACTAACCATTCTCGTCAAACAAGGGAGCCACATGAACTACTCCTCACTATCTGTGTGACCTTGGACAGGTTGGCCAATTTCTAAGCCTCAATCTCCTCATCTATAACATGAGGGTGTTAGTTTCTTCCTTTCACAATTTAACAGGGATCCAGAAAACTTAGTTTCTTTCTTTTAGACCTTTTCTAAGATTATGAGAGAATTAAAGAAACTAGATTCGTTAGTATAAAGAGAAAAGAGCTGAGATAAAAAACTTCCATTCTTGAACAGTAGCTAGTTCAGGGTGTGACATCCCACCAGAGACCCAATGAAGAGGCTCTTCCTCAAATGCTTTCCCCGATTTCTCCATGTTTACGTCCACTTCACTTGAATGACACTAACCAGCCAGGAGCAGAATCTGGGTATGGCGGCTGTCAGGACTATGGAGCTGGTTTCTGTGGTAACAGTGCCATCTGTAGGAAGACCACAGACATGCAGGTTAATGCCCACCACCTGAGCCCACCGGGCAGGCTCCAGATGGCTAACGCCCTTCTGCTCCTCAGGAGCAAGGGCTCCTCTTATTAATACAGAGTCTGATGCCCTTGGAAAACGAAAACTTCCTCATCTGGAGACAGGGCGACTAATGAAAGGTTTCCCCATGTGATTAACTCCATTATTTTTTACAACAAATAGAAACACACATTTAAATGAAGAGTTCTGGGAATTAGTCCTTTTTATTTATACTTATAATTTTTATCAAGGTAGTACATGTGTACGTAATCAAAATCAAACAAAACATGATCAGGCTCATCCTATCAGCACTGGATAATTATCATTTTCTAGAATTTTTTTGCCAACATATTGGGTAGAAAAAATAGATCCTACTTATTGCTTCAAACTGCTACTTCTTGATTACTAGTAAGGCTATACATATTCATATATATGTATATGTGAAGATAATATATGTTATATATAAACATAGCTCCGTTTTGTTTTCCAGTTCTATTTTTTGTCCATTTACCATTGGGAAGCTTGTCTTTTTCTTATTAATTTGTAAGAACTCTTCATAAATTAGGATATATTCCCTTTATTATAAGTGTTCTAATACTTTCACAAGTTTATTGCTGGTCTTTTGACTTAGTTTACGGTTTATTTTGATCAAAACAAATAAACGAAAAATTTCAAGCTTCCTCTCCAAAGACCACATATATTTACTTACCTTTTTCTTTAACCAAGATCTGCGATGTTAAAAATGATTCTGAGAACACCACAGATCCTAAGCACCCCCTTCCTCCCAGCAAGTCAGGAATGTCATAGACAGTCATACAAGCCTATATCAAATTAGAAAACAGAGTTAGACCAGTTGTCAGTCTTAAACTCAGGGACAGATCCATAAGAAATAGACCACAAAATACTGCTTCAAGGTGCATTTCAAAAGAATACTGGAGAGTCTCTAAGAAAAACTCAAATTATCCTGAAGTATATCTCAGAGCTTGGAGATGACTTCAGGATCACACAAGCTTCCTTACAATTGCTTCTTGATCAGAGACACTCTTGGGCTATAAAAATATCTTTATGTTCCTATAAACTCCCTCAAACTGCTTATCCTCCCTAAGAGGCAACACAATAGCCTTCATTCTTAACATTGACTAGTCCCCAGGGGGAGGTGTTTCTTCTAGGTGTCTGTACACTCACATACTCTTCACATCTCAGCATGTCCATACTCTCACTAACTCAATGTTAGGTGTGGGCTCAAGTTCTGAACAAGTTTGGAAAGGTGGTCATTCGTTTGGTATACGTGTCTTTATGGATATTTTGGGGTACACGTCAAAACCTACAAATGGTACTTTCAGTACCAACAAAATTAAAAGAAAGTTATTTAAGCTTTTATGGCAAGACAAAAACTAGAGGCTTCAGTAGGCTGGAAAAAAAATTGTAGCAACTCAGAGAGAGCTCCTGAATGGCTGGTAAAAAGCCCTAATTTATCAGTTAAAACTAGTGAAAATGGAACAATTCTGGGGAAATCTAGCAGAAATGTAGGAATTTGGATGAGCCAGGGCCAGGGTCTGAGATGACTGTGACAATCTGTGGTGGGACATGGGGGTAGGTAGCACGATGAGCCCTCTCAGGTCCTGTCCCCTCCTAGCCTGACGTCACTAAATGGCTAGGTGCAGAGCTCCTGAAGCCAGAGTCTATTCCGACACACTGTTGTGTCAGCCTGGGACACTGCTCCACCCTAAGAACAGAGACAAAAGACTGAGGGCTCTTGAAGGAATTGCTAGATTCTTAAAAAAAAAAAAAAGCAGTTGAAAAGAAAAAACCACAATTAAAGCCAAAGTCCTAATTTTCCATGTTGTCATGATAAAAAGAATGTATTGGGTTGTCAGAAAAGTCATGACGCATTTTTGCAACGAAAAACATAGAAAATATACATCATGACTTTTCCGACAACCCAATACAAAAGTGATAGGTAGCATTTTGTATTTTAGTTAACTTTCTAATTAGGCTGGACAACTGGAAGGTTTATCTAAATCTGTTTCAAAGAATTCTGAGTATCTGAAGATACAGAATCTTCCTGGGCCACATGGTCCCTCTTAAGTGATAGTGGGAACCCCACTTGTTTGGTTCCCAGATCAATCAGGAAGACAAATCCCGTGGGTTTCCAATCCCTCCCTTTCATATTAGGCATCTGGCACTGAGGAAGGGGAGAGAGAACATGAAAAAGAATACATGTAGCATTTGTTAGACACTTGCTATGTACTTCGCACCATGTAGCATGGGGAGAAAATATACAAAACACGGTCCCTATATTCAGGAAACCTTATAATGTATAGTTGGAGAGACAAGAACATTCTTATAAAAGAGTCATCATTTGACACCTTAGTAGAATTACTCCCTGATTTATGTAGTACAAACTGTAAGTACTGTAGGAATATAGTACATGTGAGGAGAAATCAATAGGGATGCTTGCAGGAAGACGCAGAACTTCCTCTCTGCCTGTAAGAGGACAGGATTTGTACAGAAAGCACCAACTTCCCATCTCTCCTTTCCAATTTCATTAGCTGCTGCTGAATGCACACTTAACATAGTAGTATGAGCCTACTGGACTCCTAATCACCCACTTCTATGCAAAGCACCTTCCAGAGCATTGCATAAGAGTCTAAGGAGGAAAGTCAGGGAACTGAAAGTCTAGCAAGGAGATACAGCATTATTGCCTAAATATCAGAAAGCATTTCCCAGCATCTTGATGATGTCAAAAAAAAGTCTCAGTTGAACTAACTGAACTAAAACTAATTGAACTAAAAGAACATCAACACAAAATGCAGACAGATACAAGCAGATACATTATAAAAACAGGAATTACTCACAACCTTAAAAAATTCTCTCTGTAGATAACATTACTGCTTTTCCACTGGTGATGGTGGCAGGCATGCGTTTACATTGAGTCATCCAGAGCTGCCCACCTAGTTCCCAGTGACCAAAAGCTTACAGGAATTAAGGCTCAGGCAGTAGCCACAGAACAGACTCAAGATATAACTTGTGCCCACATACAGTGCAGCCAGAACCTTGGCTGGCTGGCATCCACCATCCTCTCATGCACTGCTTGCCAATCTTCACATCAGGATGCAATAGGGTAAATGGGGTCTTGGCTTCTGGCTGGGATTAACAGATCTAGAAAATCTAGCTCCCCTAGGCCATGCCAGCCCACCTAGGGACCAATATTTTTGTATCTCTAAACCATTCCCATGACCCATCAGTGTGCCCTCAGCACATGGGTTGGAAAGTTCTGCTCTGGACTACCCCACTTTCCTGGAGACTCAGGGCTCTGACTTTTTGTTTCTTTTCGTTTATGTTCACAGGCCTCCATTAGGGGTATCAACAGAGGCCTTGGAACACTTAGAAGCCACTGAAAACGTGTTGGTGTGTGTTGGGGCGGGCTTGTCCTCAGCTGCCATTTCCATAACAGGTCAGAGAAACCTCAGTCACTTGGAGGAGGCCTTCCTGACCTTAGGAAGAGGGTTCTTTCCCAAGCCCCCAGCTAAGGTTCTGGACCGAGGGGAGCCTAGGCATGGGAGTGTGGATGTGGTGGCCTGGCACAGCTGCCCCGGCACCCTCTGAAAGTACAGGCCCACCACTGATGCAGCTGGAACAGTTCTGAAAGGAACCAGTTCCCTCAGGTACATAATGGGCTGCCCAAGAATCCCACCCACTCTTACCTCCCCCCTTGAAGATGTCCCTCTATAGGCCATTCCCTGCCAGATGACCTGTATGAGCTCTGCTTACCGTCTTCACAAAGTATAAGCTATCTTCACTGTCCAGAGGCACGATTCTAGAAGAGGAAAGAGATGGGAGGGACATTCATTACATTTACAACGTTCTCTTTCATCAACATGGCAGCAACCCAGAGACCCAGATTTCTCTCATGTGTTTTCAAAATACTTGGTTGCATGTATGCAGAATTAGTAGGTAGGCTTCTTGGAGGGAACTGGGTCCCCATCCTGCTCCCACCCCTCAGGTGTTCATTGGGAAGCACTCAGGGTACAAGGTCTCAGCCGAGTACAGCCAGCCCCACGCTCAACCCTGGAGTGATGCCACTGCCAGCTGTGGAACTGTGAGAAGACCACCCATACCAGCAGTTACGAGGTAGCCTTTCTTCTCTTTTTGCTTCTAAAACTCGCCCAAATGAGGATGCACCACAAACATATACTCACCTTCCCTGATTATTCACAGCATGTATATGAAAAGCCATCTTGGAGCTGCAGACAAACAAAACCAAGGTCAATCTGCTCTTGCCGACCACTGGCAGGTGCCCTCCCCAGAACCCTGCTGCTGCACTGCACCGATGCTGAGCCCTCACAGCACACTTGCCAAGTGAGGGGCCAGAGTCTCACTCCAGTCATGGCCATGCCTCTGTGCAGATTATCAGGGCTGTCTTAACTTTTGGACAGAGCAGGAGAGAACCATGTGACAGGAGCATTGCCCCCTGCAGACTGGGAGTGACCCTCCCAGTCTCCTACTGACCCGGGGTCTCCTACCCCATAGCCCTGACATCCTGTCCAGATCTTCCTCCTCATTTACCACCTTTGGGTCAAGCTGCCATCCCTGCTTGAGGTCTAAGCAGAGGCCAGGTCCTGTGTTCCTCTTGGGAGATGATTTGCTAACCTGATGCAGTTCAAGGGTAGTCAGTGAACTGACCTTGTGGAGAGAAGGGGGTGGGGCTCTAGGTAGAGGACTGGCCCCGGGAGACTCTCCTCCCATTGCCTGGTGTTCTCTTTGTTCCTTTCTTCAGCTAGTGTGGTACACCCAGGCTTAGGAGGCCTTGGGGTTGAGAGGTAGCCTGCCCTGGAAAGGCTGAGTGACCTGGCAAGGCCCAGAGGAAAGGAGGAATGGGATGTCTATATGTCAGTCATGTCAGTGGTAACAGAGAAGACCAGTGTCATAGCAGCTAACATTTACATGCCCAATCACTGTATGAGGTGGAAAGATGGGGAAACAGATACACAGGCAGCTCCCTGTCTTGCCCAAAGTCACACAGCTGGAAAACAAAGAAGCTTCTTCAAACTTAGGTCACCAAGAAAAGACAGTCTAGGCCAGTGCGAGGCCTTAAGGGATTCCCTCACCTCCTCTCCCCCTCCCCGTCTCTCCCTCTTTCCCACTCCCTCTCCCCATCTCCTCTCTCTCTCTCTCTCTCTCTCTCTCTCTCTCTCTCCTTTCATGGCCAGAGCTATAAGACCCAGAAGACCCAGAGGAAAGGAGACCTGAGGCAAGCCTAAAATCTTGTGCCAAAGAGATCTGGCCTTTCCTGCCACTCCTGTGGCTGTAGAAATAGAATTCTTCTTGTTAGGTCAACTGACTGACTTATCTTTCTACATGCTCCTTTTCACTACTCAGGGCTATAGATGCAACAAAATGTAAGGCATGGAGCTGAGGTACCACAGTGTACATCCCAGAAGTGTTCTTAAAGAAACTCCCCAATATTGGTGTCTTTTGCCTCCTTTGATAACAGTGTACTTAGTGGTCCCCACATTCAACAGTGGGTTAAGTGGAGTAGGTTCAGGAAGGTTTAGCTATGGAAAAGGACCACACAGAGATATACTATGGTGTGCCAGGGGATGTGTGATGGGAAGACTGACAGGGAGCCAAATATCTAGAACATCAAGGCCCTGAGACACAGCCAGACTCAGGGTTTCTATCACGTGAGAGGCAGATAAAGCCCAGGGCAAGCCTCTTCTAAGCAGTGACTGTCTTCACATGCCCAAGGCCCCTGACCCTAACAAACCTCACCACTCATGTTCCCAGCTTCATCTTTTTAACCTCTGAGCTGGGTTTGCCAGGTCTCTAATGGTTCCAGTATTGATCTGCATCCCATTCCAGTGTCAGGACATGTGTCTGACTCTTTCTCATACAGCTCCTCCATCTGTGGCTCACTGGCCTCTCAAAGCCCTGATCATAAATGATTCTCCTCCACATATCCCATTATTTTACCAGAACGTTTCTCAAAGGAGAAATGGCATATCAAATACAAGGAAGAAAAGAGTCTTTAAAAATCAAACATTAGGGCTGGCTGAGTGGCATATTGGTTAAAAGCTGGCTTGAGATACCAGCTCTGAGCAGCAGGGCCCTGGTTCGGATCCCACATGAGGGCCAGTGACACTGCCCTCTAAAGCTAAGATGCTGAACTACAGCTCGATCTGGAGCTGGGCTGCTGTGAGTCGCCGGTGATGGCGTAGGCTGTAGCCCCTGCTGCAGTGGGCTGCCATAAGCTACAGTGTGTGGCCGGCAGCCAGTGTGAGCTGCCTAGAGCCGCCATGAGCGGCCGTCCAGAGGCCAGCGACCGATCTGCCTCACCCGGGAAGAGAGCATGATAATACCAACATGGGCCAGTGAAGCGATGTCCTCCACAACTAGACTGAAGAACAAAAGGACAGCAACTTGTCTGTTCCCCTTCTCCAATTCCCCAACACTGTTCCCCTCTCCCAATTCCCCAATAAAATCTTAAAAAAAAAAAAAATCAAACATTAAAAAAAAATTCCTTATAAGAATATATAAGCCATTGCTTACCGTACGGCTGCCTTAAACTGCAGTAACTCAAAGGCATCTAACCCAGATCCCAGGATCTGCTCAGCTACCTCCTTGGCCTGTAAAACCAATAACAAACCAGAAGCAATTAGCTTTCACAGCAGGCAAGTGTACACATCACTGATAGGAGGAGCCCTTCTAACACCTGGCCAGGAGAACGCTGTGCACCTCCCCTCTACATGGCTATTTAGGAGCCTGCTTTCTTCAGGCTGGGTTCATAGGAAACACTTCATTCAGGCAGCTGGGATGGTGGCACTGTGAGGTCTGGAAATGCTCGTTGTCTTCCCCTGTCCCCTGGCCCTGGAGGAGGGCACTCCTGGCCTCAGGGTTTCTACCCAATGCTAAGAACATTCAACTAGCTAGAGTTACAAAAAAGATCAGTTAAAAAACAAAGGTGTGAGAACTGAGGTCAGCACCGAACCCAAGTCAGCAGCAGGGATTCAAGTTCAGTGAGGAGGGGAGATGGCAAGGAACTGGTGACTACACTACAGTCTCTCTGGTATCTACATCATACACAACCTTTCCAATGTCAAATGGCTTCCTTCAGGAAAGGTCCTATTGGCATTGGGAGGCATCAAGCCGACTCTTCACATCTCCTTACTGGGTCAGATATAGGAATCCAACTCAGCAGGGCAGGTTAACAGCAAAACAGCAAGGAAGATAAAGGTCAGAGGACGAGAACACATGTGCTTGTCAAGAAAAAGCAAGTCAGATTTTCTAATCTTTAGATGTGTTTTTTTTTTTAACACTGAATTATAGGAAATCAAACTGTGTAGCTCAAAACAAACTTACCTAATTTTATTAAAATTCACAGTAGAATAACCTATATATTTTTTAAAAGCCTTTTTTAAAACACTCTGAAGTAAAAAATAACTTGCTACAGAATGATTTTTCTGTAACACCACCAGGTATCTACAAAGAAGTGTGGATTAGTTTGTCATTCATAAGACAAGGGCAGCCCGGTAACAGGCAGTACAGGCAGCATAAGCTCAGCGCTCTAAAGGTGTCTCTGGTGCCAGCTCTGCTGAGGCCCAAGCTCACACAAAACTGAGTACTACAAGGTATCAAAACACCCAAAACAAAACCAAAAAATCCCACCCAGATGAACAGTAAGTTTTACATTAAAATAACATCTAAGGAAAGAGGAACATGGTATTTAAATTACCTTTGTTAGACTGGAAGTTTTAGCATAACATGCAATACCAGCCAAAACAGCCTCAATAACAGCAGCATATACCTGGGACAAGAGCCTACTTTAAAAACAAAAAATAAGGGTTAACTATAGCATCACAAGGTTTCATCAAAAGCTGCACGCACAAAAATGATGTTCCCTGTGGGGCTGGTTTTTAAACAGAATGAGAAAAGTGCAAAAAATGAAACTTGTTGATTTCCAAACCTTTTAAAAGCTATGTGTCCCATCTGATTTATACTTTTTTCTGTTAAATCATGATAAATAAGAAAAGAAAAGCCAGCTCTTCTTAATTCTGCTCAAAAGACCAACCCTCCAAGTTTATGATCCAGCGGTAGAAAACCACGTGGGCTCCCTGACCCGTCCACCCACGAGCAGCTGCCCAAGCACCTGGAATCTCCTTCAGTATCGTGATACAGACGTGCTGCTTTTCCAGGGACCAACTGCACCACACCATCATGTCACCTCCTCCCCACGCCTGCTAAAATGTTACTGGAACCTCCAGAGACAAAAGAGATTACTCTGGGGATAAGATGGGCTTCACTTAAATGCAAATTAACAGCTGCAGACCACTTTCCCAGCAGCTTACCTGATCTAGAAAACAGAGCATGTTTCTAAGGGGAAGTATTCCCCTCCTAAAGGAGCACCCCTCCACCCCCTCCACCGCCAATCAATCTTGCTCTTTCTCTCTGACTTCTCACTTCCAAAGTCAGTGTAAGGATTTTTTTCTTTGGCAGTATAGGGACTGCCACCAAGGTACCTTGAAAATCCAGGTCATTGTAATTCCCTTTAGAACAGGGTTTCTCAATCTCAGCATTTTGGGCCAGATAATTCTTTGTTGTGGCATCTGTGCTGTGCTTAGAAGATGTTTAGCAGCACCCCTGGCCTCTATCCATTTGATGCCAGTAGTAGCCCCAGCTGTGACAACCAAAAATGTCTCCAGACTGCCAAATGTCCCTGGTTTGGGGTAGACTGCTAGGGGTGGTGCAGCAAAATTGCCCTTTGTTGAGAACCACTGCTTGAGGGGAAAGAGACCCAGGGTCTTATTAGGATAATTATAGCAGGCAGGGCCTCATCCCTGAGGCCCTAAAAGGCAAGGAGGTGCCTGCAAGGAGCTGATAAAGCCTCACCTAAGAATATGTCTGTTTTTAAGCCCAAGAATCTTATAAGGGTAAAGGAAGGCAATAGGAGTTTGAAAGCAGCGGGGACCACAGAAATGTTCTGGTCTAACTCTCTTTTCTTATAGAAGAAGCAAATAGGGCCTCTGGAGGTGGAATAAGTTGTCCAAGGCCACAGAAAATTAATGGCAGACTCGAACTCAGGCCTGCTCTCAGCCTGGAGCTTTCGCACTGGGCCACACCACCCTGCCGACTCTTCCAGTTTCCTCCTCAGCTCCCTCACCACGCCTCCAAATTGTAGGTAAGAGATCTGAGTTAGGCAGAAGAAAAAGGGACAGAAAAAGGACACATAACAGAACGACAGCTCCAAGGATCAACATATCCTGAAGACTGTTGGCCGGGCAACGGCAGAGGGGTATGCCCTGGTATGAAGGGGCCAGGCAGGGACACTGCCGATGGGCTGGGCCACTTCCAGGTAAAACCAGAATCCTCCACACCTGGACACTACGGGCGAAGCTTTATAGAGGCCAACTTCAAAGATACATAAAGATGCCCTTCCTCCCACCTAACTGGATTCAAACATCACTCAGTGCCAACACTGGCCAGGCCTCCCCGCTGCTTTGCCTTCTCAGACAACAGCTTAATACAAAGCCGCCTGGCTACTGACTCATAACATGGGCCTGGATGGGAGGTCTGGGACCTATGACAAGGGAAGGGGCTGCTCTGTACCTGGATGGCGCTGCGCGGCCTTCGCTGGGACACCACAAGGCCCAAGTTCCACCAGCTCTGTGATTCAGAAAATCCCCAATGTGGGCCCCAGTACCCCTCAATACCAGTCCCTGAAGCTGGGCACCAGTGAATTTTGTTTAGGTGAAATGTCTAAGGGTCCCGAATGAGGACCCAGTGCAGTGGCTAAGCACAGCTAGCATGGAAGCACAAGCAGGTACAAAGCAAGACTATACATACCCACCAAAATATCAGAATGTGGCTGACTTGCTGAGTAAGTAAAGAAAACCCTCAAAAAAAAGACTGCACACACACTATAATTACAGCCATACAAAACCTAAATGTATAATTAAAAAACAAAAAACCAGGAAGATACCCATTAAGATACTCTTGTATCTTAGAGGAGGAATTATGATTTTATTTTCTCTGTTTTCTAAATTTCTGTAGTGTGATTATATTTCCTTATAAGAAGAGACACCAGAGATCTCTCTCTCTCTTCACATGAACACAGAGGAAAGGCCATGTGAGGGCACAGTGAGAGAAGGTGGTGGTCTGCAACAACTCAGGAGAGAGGCCTCACCAGAAACCAACCTTGCTGACACCTTGATCTTGCACTTCTAGCCTCCAGAATTGTGAGAAAATAAAGTTCTACTGTTTAAGCCACCCAGTCTGTGGTATTTTGTTATGGCAACCCAAAAAGACTAATACAAACATTAATGAGTTTATTTCCTGTCTTTGGTTTTCTACTTTATGCTGGTTAAGAGACGTCAACACTAGGACCTTTCTAAAGTTGCACGGCCTGCCTGAGTTCACATCCTAGTTTTGTTCCATAAGTCTGAGTGTCAAGTCCAGAGGAAACGCTCCTCAGGCCAGAGGAGTTCCACACAGATTCTTCCAATGGGTTTCAGGATGCTTTATTTTTTAGGAGAGCCCCCAATATAAACTGCACTATGCAGAAAGCATATTAAGAAGAGTTATGCCACTTAAATGCAGGTAGGAAGTCTCCTGATTCTGGAAGGAGGAGCACATAGTCAAGTTGGCAGGGTCTGCAGCCTGGACTCCCAGCTGACAGATGGGCTGGGAGCCTCCTGGGAAACTACAGAGCTCTGCTCATCTCATAAACCAGACATCTCACCCACTGCTGACTTCAAAAGGAGGAAGACAGAACAGCCACAACTTCTAAGTAACCCAACTTTGAAATAAATAAATAAACAAATAAATAAAAATGAAGACTTACATTTGTTCAGTTTTTTTGGGCAGCTTGTTGTCATCACCTGTGAAAGAGGGCCTAATGAGAATGTGACAAGATCATAGGAGATGCAAACACTTCACACAAATGACAGTGATACCTAGCTTCTCTCAGTATCTTCCTGGACCTTCAGCTCTGACATTGACTTTGACAACCCACTCAGTGTCACCACTAAATCTCAGAGAACACATACAGAATCTTAGGCTCTGGAATGTTTTTGCTTTTATTTTAATGTTTTAAACTAGAAAGTGTAAGTAAGCGGCTCCGCTCTGCCTCTTTCCTCATTTCCTTAATTTTCTGACCCAAGTCATGCTTCTTTCAGAGTTTCCTGGTTCATATAACAACATTCAGGAGAAAACCTGGTTTCTAATGTACTGTGGAGCAGTGCTGAGATCCTCATTCTAGAGGTTCTTCTCCATGTCTCTTTGGATGTCTGCAGCTTCTGGTTACCCCAGCAAGATGGGCATCGCTGGTCAGCCTTTCTGGATGGCCCTGCAGCATGGAGCCATTGCTCCTATGAATGTTCCCAGCTCATCGGTACCCTCCTGCCATGGCCTTTCTTCACTTTCCTCACAAAAAGAGTTGGGTGGGCACCTGGCTGAGTCATCCAAACTCCCATTGCAGCCCTCACCTTCTGTTATCTCCAACTAGAACTTATTCAATTTTGCCTTCCCTCTGACACTGAGGACATGGGCTTGCACATGGTTAGACTGACATATGTCGAGCCAATCGTTTTTCCTCCTGGAATACATTCTGTGAGTAACATGTCAAGCACATCAACCCTCCACCTGCAATCAGAGCGGGAGTTGGAGGCCTACAAATTGGGCATCATGAGCTTCTGACCAAAGTATAATAGTAAATCATGAGTCCACATCTAGATCATGGGAGAAACTATTCACTAAGTTGATAAGATGACAACTTATAGGGACTTACCCAAGTAAGGAATGTAAGTAGCTCCAAAAAAGTATGTTCTCGAACAAGCAAGGGGTCCCTTTGGTGAGACACACTGTACTACCTGGATGTCAGAAAAAAACAAAACCAAAAAATGAGCAGGGACTTAGATGTGTACTGCTAGAGAAGTAAAAAGCGTATTAGTTAACGGAAATCAATTTTATTTTACCAACAGCTGATTATTTTTTAAAGGCATAGGGGAAAAGATCACCTTTAACAGTTATTTTTCCAAAGGTAACTTGCATGTGTGTATGTTTGTTCTTAATTTTGGCTTATATTGAAGGTTGCTATTGGGCACTTGGTCAATCCAGGATGGGGAATGAATTCACAACTTAGAATTAAAAAAAAGAGAAAAACGTGCTTGGATTTTGATTGCCATTAATATTCAGTCCAGGATTTTCACAGTGGGGACCTTGGCTGATATGACAGGCAGATGTGGGGAGAAGCTAAAATTCAGGAAAGGAGGGTGCTACCCAGGTCCCTACCTTCATTGGTATTTTATCTCCATACACAGGTCTTGCAGAAGAGAAAACGACAAGTTCCCTACATTTTAAAATTCTTCTTCTTCTTCCCTGTTTAGGTGCTCATTTATACAGAGATAGAATGGTTTTCTTTTCTCTTTTGAAAATCCAGTATTTCATCAGGATTCCTAGGACAGCATATACAAAACTCAAAAATGCTACCACAAGAACTCACTATTTTAAACTATACAATTCAGTGGTGCACTGGTTTTATCACTGTGTTCTTCAGTCCTTAATGTTCCAAGATTCCTTCTTTTATCATTTGCTTTCTATTTTGACCAAACTTCCTTTAGTCATTCCTTTAGGGTAGGTCTGTTGGCAACAAATTCTTAGTTTTCCTTCATCTGAAATGGATTCCCCCATGTCTCGATTCCCCCTTCATTCTTGAAGGATATTTTCACTGCTTATAGATTTCTAGGTTGATGGCTCTCTTCCAGAACTTGAAAAATGTTGTGCCACTTCCCTCTGGCTTCCATGGTTTCTTAGGAGAAATTCACTTTCACTCAAATTGTTTTCCCCTATAGGTAAGGGTGTTCCTCTCTGGCAACTTTCCTTTGCACTTGTCAAGATTTTCCTTTTCAGGAGTTTGACTCTGATATGTATTGGTGTGGCTATCTCAAGGTTTAATCCTGTTTCAGGTTCACTAAACTTTTTTTTTAAAGATTTTATTGGGGAACTGGGGGAGAGGAACAGTGTTGGGGAATTGGGGAAGGGCAACAGACAATTTCCTGTCCTTTGGTTCTTCAGTCTTGTTGTGGAGGACATTGCTTCACTGGCCCATGTTGGTATTATCATTGTGCTCTTCCCGTGTGAGGCAGTCACTTGCCGGCCATTTGACAGCCGCTCACGGCGGCTCATGGCAGCTCACGAAAGCTCACGCCTGCTGCCAGCTAGCCCCACTGCAGCCTACGCCGTCGCTGGCGACTCACCGCAGCCCAGCTCCAGGTCGAGTTGTTGTTCACCATCTTAGCTGTAGAGGGTGCAGTGTCACTGGCCCTCAAATGCAGGATCCCAACCAGTGCCCTGCTGCTCAGAGTTGGCGTCCCAAGCCAAATCCTAACCAACGCACCACTCGGCCGGCCCTAAACTTCTTGTATTTGTAGGTTCATGGGGTATTTTTGTTTGATTGTTTTGCCAAATTTGGAGAATTTTCAGCCATCATGTTTTTAAATATTTTTTCAGCACCATCTTCTTTCTCCTCTCCTAATATGCCAATAACATGAATGTTAAGATTTTTCTGTGATAGTTTCACAGATCTCTGAGGTTCAGCCTTTGCAGTTAATTTCCTCTGCTGTTTAGACTGGGTAATTTCTATTGTTCTGTCTTCAACTTACTGATTCTTTACTCTCTCTTTTCCATTCTGCTGTTGAGTCCATTCAATGAGTTTTAATTTTTGATATTATATTTTTTAGTTCTAAAATTTTCTTTTTTTCTTTTTTAAAGATTTTTATTGGGGAATTGGGGGATGGGAACAGCACTGAGGAATTGGGGGAAGGGGAACAGACAAATTGCTGTCCTTTTGTTCTTCAGTCTAGTTGTGGAGGATGTTGCTTCACTGGCCCAAGTTGGCACCATCATTGCGCTCTTCCC